AAATCAAACTTCCAACTTCTTTGATCTATTTTCTTCCTTTCTCTTCTTCTTCTTTTTCTGTTTTTTATTTGCTCTCAACCAATCAATTTCATCTCGAGAGATTTTAGTATGATTTGAAATTTTAACCACTTCAAAAGACGATTTTAAAACCAAAAATATAAATCTGAAAGTTTTTTCAATTTTATTTTATTTTTGTTTTTTTTTTTTTGAATATTGAATATAAAATTAATAGTAAACAGTTGGGTGATACGAAAAAAAGAAACAAGAAGAGGTTTTCAAAATCGAATAAAATTCAATGAGAAAATTCATTTTTTATTGGCAGTTTTTACAAAATAAAAAATATTTGAATGAAATTGACTAGAAAAGAGAAAATAAGTACAATTTGCTGAATGAATGATGGAAAACAATAAAAAAAAAAAAAAAAAAGGAAAAAAAGTAAGCGAAGAAATATTCGAAGAAGTGAAAAAGGATTTATGAAAATTATAATTTCTTTCAAATTGTTGGAAAATTGTCATAGACATATTAAAATTGTGTTCTTTCTACAACATTAAAATTTTTATTAAAAAAAGAAAAAGAAATAAATTGCTTAATTAGTTGTTAAATTATAGCAGATTTTAATGATTAAAAGTTATCGAATATTTTGATATGTTTTGAATCTTTTTCATTTCTTCCCACAATTGTATATTTGGTTTTTTAAAAAAAAAGGTCAAAAGAAATTGAAAGTAATTAAAGTATTATGCATTAGTACTTTTCTTGCATTGCTTATTCGTTCCTTTTATATATGTTTAATAGTTGCAATTAGTTCAAAACAAATATTTATTTTTCATTTTATTTCCTTTTTAAAACTATTTATGATCGAAGCAATCATTACGTATATAATGTAATTAAACAATATTATAACACTTTAAATGATTAAATTAGTTAAATTAAGAAAGAAAAAGTAGAACTTATTTTCAATAGAAAAATTTATTAACAACAATAGAATTAACAATATAAAATGATTAAATATAAAATTTTATGTTTCGTGCATGTATATTTAATTGATATTGAGTTCCTGCAAAGAAGCAATGTTGAATAATTTTTAAACTGCGGAGAAAAGAGATTGAACAAATTAAAGTTATTTAAAAGTTATAAAATGGGCGTTACAGAATAACTTTAGTTTTCAAAAAAAGAAATAATATAACGTAACTCTCAAGTCTTGTATTATAGAAAAAAATAATACTGAAAATTTCATCATTTATTTGTTACTTTCTAGCTTGCATATGTAACAAATAAGTCGTTAAGCTAATTTATATTTACAAATATTAAATTTCATTTCTAATTAAATGTTTATTTCTGTTAGTTTTTTTTTTTTTTTTTAATTTTAATGTTTCTTTTATTTTTGAAATTAAAAAAATGAATAAATAGAGATATGTGATTTTAAATTATTAATGTGGTAATAAAAAAAAGAGAACAGATGTCAGGTATGAATGATAATGATTATTGGTTTGAATAACAATAAAAGAGATCATTTCCTTCATTATTTCTATTTTTTCCATATCATTTTGTATTCACTGAATTAATTATGGAAAATTAAGAAAAAGAAAAAACTGATTTATTGAAAAATATTAAAAAACTATGAAGTTATTTAAATTTTTTCAAAAAAAATATAGCTTACTTCATTAAATTAATTCAGAAAATTTATTGTCTTAAATAACATGAAGAGGTTTGATTTATCATAGTTAATTGCAAAAGTCTATTTGTTTTTTTTTTTTTTTTTTGATTATCATAATGCAAATTAATTTAAAAAAATGTAAGAAAGAAAGATAATAATAAATGAAAAGTCAAAATTTTCACAATTTAATAAATAAAAATTACAAAATGAGCAAATTTCATGCAACTTATAACAATTAAAAAAATATAGCATACTTTAAATCAATAATTTTCCAAGATAATCACAAATCCATGAAATAAAGAAAAATAACAACATGCGCCACTACTTTCTAATGTTATTGCAGAACTTATTGCAGCTTTTTCAGAAAGTTATCATTTTGACAAAACAACAAAAAGAAATGAATCATTGAAATGGATATCATCCAAATTAATTATTCTAATAATCAAGTGCTGCATCCATAATGAAGATAAATAATACAATTGGTAAATATAAACAAAATAAAACATGATTTCTACTTTGAATTTAAAAAAAAAAACAATTTAAATGTTTTCAAAATATGCATTTCAATCACTAAATTACAAGTTTATCGACAAAATTTGTAAAAAAAAAGAAGGAAAATAACTGAAAAAAATATTATGAGAAATATTTAAATGGAAAATATTATTGCAAACATTTAAACGATTAAAATTTTAATTCTTCACTTTCATAAATGACTTCAAAAATAGCAAGATAGAGAATATTTTTTTTTGCTATGCATCCATATAAAATTTAACAATTAGTTATGAATAAATTGAATTAAATAATCTGATAAAGCATATACACAACAGTCAATTTAGAAACGCAATATTATTAAATTAAATATTATTAATTAAAGATATTATTTACATATTATTAAAAGCAATATTATTAAAGGAAATGCGATATAATTTGTTAAATTTTATACTTAATGATATAATCATAAAATAACAAATTATTGAAATGAAATAATTGATAACAAATATTTCCATTTTAAATGAAATTTTCAAAATAAAATAATTACGTATAGCCAAAAGAATTTATGCTATAAATAAAACTTATTCTATTATTTTTTCATTCCTAAAAATGATTGCATTTCTTTCTTCTTTCATTTTTCCTCTATGAAAAAAATTACCCAAGAATTATTTTGTTCTAGAAAAAAAAAATTATCATTGAATGGTTTTCTTTTTTTCTGTTTTATTACCGAAATACTTTTAAAATTTGATTGATGTTTCAAAGTATATTTTAAAACTTTTCAAAGAAAATTTATAAACAAAAATCAGCATGTTTATTTATATTTTTCTTTAAAAAAAAAAAAAAAATTAGAAAGAAAAAAGTACATAATTTATAAGGCAAAATTTAGCACAATGGTATAATTTAAAATGTATTGTAGTAGCAGAAATTTTCAATTAACTTCACTTAAAAACGAAAGAAACTTGTTTTTTTTCTCTCTGTCTTCTACAATAATCCAATTAGTTTAAATAATTAACAAGTAATTACAGAAAACTTGCATATCAACTTTTTAAATGTATGACATAACATATTTTTGCTAAAAAAAAACAAAAAAGTGAAGGTGAGCATCTATTTTCATTTTTAATAGTTTAAAAAAAAAATAAAATATTAGATAATAATATACTTCAAATATTAATTTATGGGAATCGTTTTTTCCTTAAATTAAATATTTAAATTTATTACAGAATAACTGGATTGTTGAGCAATTGGAAATTAAATTGCCGTTTAGCGTAATGATGACATTTTCATTTTAATATTTTCCCGTTGTGAATATTTGAAAAAAAAAAATGAAAGAAACAACCTATGCTCAAATTCTCATAGTGAATCGATTATGACAAAAAAAAGGAAAAAAAAGAATTGATAAAAATAAAGTAAAAAAAAGGTAAGAATGAAAATGAAATGGTTGAAAACAAGTTTCAATCATTGCTTATAAATACCTTTCATTTTTTTTTCTTCGAAATGTAAAATTACTAGAATTAAAAAAAGCGATTCATTTTGTTGGTTGTATTATCATTTTTATTCCTCTCACTTTTTAAATACTACTTATATTTCTAAAGCAGTAGCGGTTTTAATCAATGTATTGCTAGGAATTATAGTGTAAGTTATTGTTTAACAAGTAAGAACAACTAACTAATTAACAACTTAAAATAAAGTAGTGCATTGATATTTTATCAATATTGCAATGCTAGTAATAATTACAGTGATAATAATAATAAATAATAATAAATTATTAGTTCAAGGGGAAGTATATTTGCAATATTTTACAACTAAAGTTTAGAATTAAATAGAACTGCGGCAAAAAATAATGGCAAAAATTTCCTAAAATAATATAAAAGTGATTTTTATTTTGGTTATTAAAATGATTTAGACTTACTAAACTGTAATTACTACTAATTTAAACTTTCAAATTAATGCAGCTAGGTTTTAATATGGTCTAATAAGATAAAGTAGTGTGATAGTCCATATTATTAAATATTGATTGTAAATTTTGGTAGTAAAAATTATTGATAGTAAATTAAAATTAAATTTTGCTCATGAAATTTCAATAAATTCTTATTTGTATGATATGATAAGAAAGTTTGAACTTATCTAATTTACATTTATTACTACTTAACACTTAATAATGCAACAACTATTATGCATTATTTGTCAAATATTTACATTAATTGAAAAATGATTGGCATTTTTATTATTAATTTAATTTGTCTTTGAATCATTAATATTACTTCTTCCGCTGGGAGCGTATACCGAACGTAACGCTGGAACTGACCGATTATTGCAATTACTTTCTTCGTTTTGTTCTTGTTGTAATGAGCTTGAAATACACAGTACAGTTTGCATTTTGCATTTCATTTCATTTAATCATATTTTTTCACTTTTCTTTCTTGTCTCTTTTCTTTGCATTTAAAATTTGAAATTCTTTTTTTAGAAAAAACAAATTACAGAAGAATTATTGCAAATCATTTGGTAGTTTTATTACTTTTAAAAGTATGAATTTCTTCGAAGTAGTAAAAGAAAAGAAAAAGTTAAAATGATTTAAATGAATTTATTTGATTGTAATTAAATAGCATTTTCAGCATTTTTCCTTTTCCTTTCTATTTTTTCAACTTTTTTTGTTTAATATAAAATGATTGAAATATGAAATAGAACAGTTTATTTGAAGTATCAAGTATCTGTGTGTATGTTTCTCAGTAATTAATATATTTTAATTAGTTGCTTTTAACGGAATGGAATTAAAAATTTGTAAGGTTATTTTTCGTTACAATGAATACATGAATGTCACAGAAATATTTAATTTATTAATTTAAATAATTTCAGGATGATGGCATACTTCCGGTTGTTAGCTATTATTTTGTCACATAGCATTGTGAATATTACATTTGCTGGTTGTGGTCATCATGGACGGTCACACCAGCCATATCCTCGACCACTATACCAGCCATATCCTCGACCACAGCCACCGCAGCGACCGTGTCCACCACCACCACCTTCACCTCCTTGTCCACCACAACCTTGTCCTTCTCTGCCACCACCGACTCCTTGCCCACCACAGCCATGTCCACCACCACCACCTCCGGTTCCATGTCCAAAGCCGCCTCCATGTCCACCCCCACCACCGCCAATACCTTGCCCACCTCCATTACCGCCAAAACCTTGTCCACCACCACCAGCTCCACCGCCTTGTCCGCCACAATCTTGTCCTCCCCCGCCACTTCCACCTCCATGCCCAAAACCCCCACCACCAATACCTTGCCCACCTCCACCACCACCAAAACCTTGTCCACCTCCACCATCTCCACCGCCATGTCCACCACCACCACCACCTCAGCCATGTCCACCTCCACCACTCCCACCTCCTTGTCCACCAACATATTGTACACCACCCCCACCTTCACAACCTCCGGTAACTTATTCACCGCCACCAAAACCTTATCCGTATGTGCCAGAATGCCCATCTCTCCCTCCCCCATCACCATCTGATTGCGTAAGTACATTAGCATATCCTTTTACTAAATTAAATTTGCTATGGAATTTAAACTTTAATGTAAGATGATCCAATTAAAGATCATTAATCAATCAATTCGAATTCGGGTTTCATCTCGGCACCATTTCGAAATCTCATCTCTTCAAGCTTTAGAGTTATCAACAATGAGTCACGATGATATTGTATTTTAAAAGCAATTTCCTTTCTAATTTGATCATTACATTTTTTAAGGTTCTCAGATCACCTAAACATTCCTAATACCAAATCTAAGAAATAAAAATTCCAAAATTTATTACACGCACTAGTTTCATTTTTTCTATTGATATATGTTTCTATGGAATGACTTTTTGGAAGTTTGCTGTAATTCTTAGATTTGATACTAGGAACGAATGGGCGATCAGTAGTTCATAGATATTTTAACTCTTCTCATAGTATTCAGTTGAACTATTGAGTAGATCTTGTAAAGCATTTATGTATTGAAACAGCAGAATTTGTACTAATAAATAGAAGCTATAATCTCCATGGCCTAGTAGATACACGATAGCTGAGGCCTTCAAAGCTTATTATTTGGTTCTTATGCACAAAACGAATCGGTGATAATGCATTTAATAAGTTAATAGTAATAATTAAACGTATTGTAACAATTAAACGAATAATCTAAGTAATGTTAATATTAGTAAAAATAGTGTATTTAGAACAGCGACTTTTAAACCGGAAAAATGTTTTATTTAGCGGATAGAAACTTCGCCAAATCATTACATAATCCAACCAATGAACCTATTCTCCACCCTTATTCATCTTAATTTTCATATTAATATTCACCAGATTTACCTGATGTATGGCAATATAATCACATTTACTATCACCAAATTACTTATCCCATTTTTGCAAATTGTAAATTATATTTGCTAAAATTATCATTATTATTAAAACTATGATTTTTATCAGCTACTATTATTATCAATATTAATGATTTTTATTGAAGAAAACTGATTCGGAAGTGTGCACAAAATGCAATCAACAATCAAAACCTTCAAAATCACCAAATAGAAGCATGGCTGGAACATATTTTAGAACTAATAAAAGGCTTTCCCGAAAATCAGAACGATTAAATAGAAGGAATAAACGCGAAGAAACGAAAATTGTTATGAGTGACACTTGCAACAGTCATGATCTGATGGAAATTATGGATCAGGTACTATTTCAGTTATGGATAAATCAAATTTAAATTTTATATTAGGACAGATATGACATGTAGGCTATAAAATTCTCCTAGTAATATCATCAATTTAGTAATCAATACTTTATTTCTTTTCTTTGTTTCCCTTCTTTTAAAATCCAGTCACTTTCATGTGATGTTCCTGCAATGGTTCCTTAGAAAGCTGACTAATAGTAGCGAAAATAAAATAATGTTCTGGAAAGCAAAAGTATATGTCAAATATTCTAATATTTTGCTGTTTTTTTTTCTCGATTTTTTTCAGAATTTATCAACTAACTTGGCAATCTCGAAACACTTAATTCAGAAATATGCCGAACTGAAATTAAAACGTGACTTCAACGTGATTTGCTCCAATAACTCATTTACGTTTATTACACATGCTACCCTATACTGCCAAACAGTTAAATTTAATGTTTCATGCTATGCTTTTACTGCTGATTAAATTCAATTTATCAGTTTGTATTAAAAGCTTTATCAAGCGATAAATGATATGCAGTAATAATGAATATAATAAATGATATATAATGATAATTTATCTATTGTCGTCAACCTCTTTCTGATAACAACAAAGACTGAGGTTATTTGTACCTCTTTGGTTCTTTTCTTCTGGGTGTCTTCCGCATAATTAAATTATTCGGATAAAATGGTTAATACAACAGCAAATGCAAGAAGACAATTTTAACGACAACATCTCAACAACCGATTTGACCCAAAGGATTTTGTAAAATGAATTTGATGAGTAGGATCAAGCGCTTTGCGCTTTAACAAGTGAGAGGGTACGGTCCAGCTATAAGATCACATTCACAAGAAATATAGTACTCAGGACACGCATAGGATTTCTGTTTCTTTCTTTTGCACTCGTGATATCCCATTATATTACAACAATGACACACATTTCATTAATGCAAAATTATTAGTAAAATATTTTTTCCTTTTCCTCTTTTTCTGCTCACATTTCTTTTTTCCTATACATATCAAACATTTCGAAAATTAGCACATTTCGCTTTTATTGCTTTATTAAAATTTGAGCTATTTCTTTTTTATGCATTAAAAAGTTTTGCATGAATATTTGAAAAATTAGTTGAACATATTTCATATTTAATATGCCTAACAATAAATTTTGCCATTATGCATGATAGAAGATTGTTAATCAGTTTAGTAATATTTGTTGCTTAAAAAAAAAATAAAAACAATAATTTCTGAGTAAGTCATATTTGGAAAACAAAAATTGGTAATATTATTTCACCTTGTATTAATGGAATGAGATTATCAATGATTTAAATACTGTTGGTTATCTGGGAGCAAAATTTTATTACAATTCTATTACTATCAATTTACTCGAAATTTCGAAAAGTATTTCTTATTCCATTTCTTCAGTACTAACAAATTGTAGTTCATGTGATAAAACTGTAATGATAAAATTGCGAAGATTATAGTGATAAGATTACAAGTGGCAAATTATATGATAATGTCACGATGATAACATCAATGTTCATCTAAAATAAATTCCAGAATTTCAAATACAATATTTTGATTATGTTGCTGCGTAATTTAATTCTAATTTTTAAATTTAATTGGAAACTTTTTCTCTAATGTAAATTAGAAGAATTGTTTGATACCGTAAATATAAACTCAATTCGAGATCATGGAATTTCATATCGATACCGATATTAATGTCGGTGGAAAAGCCATTAAATGTTCTGCTTGTAAATGCTGTTGGATAGTCCTAACGTTTTTCCGGGAATTCTCGGATTTTTACGTTTAGAGTTTACTACTTTTTAAAGTAATTAGTTATACAAACAAATATTCTGAATTAATTGGGCATTATTTAGCATAAAATATTTACCAGGTTTTCAATTAATGATTAATGCTTAGTGAGGATTAATGTTTGTCAAGTATTTCACGTATTCTGCATACCGCATAATTGCGGAAAAGTAATCGCGATTTCAGCTTGTATGTGAATAGGAGTGTTTGTTTTAAGTTAGTAGTAGATATGTTTTCCTCATATCATGTTTTACCATATCATAAATATCATGTTTTTAAATATTCTGCAGATGACAGAATTGGACGAAGGTGACGTTGCCGATAACGGGTCTGGAAGTTTCGAAATCAGTCAGGAAGGTGATGGCATTACTCCTTTGAATCTAGTTCAGTCCATTTATGTAGGTTTTAATTTTATCTTCATTAAAATTTATTCTCAAATTGTAGACTAACTATTTGGGAAAGGATGATTAGGGGAAATGAGATGTGGAGTAGCTAGGTTAGATAGAATTCGAAATTACGAATAAAAACTTTAAGTTATTTTCTTTATAGCAGACTTTATAAACTTTTTACATCTCAGCCGGTTGCTGAAACAAGTAGTGATGTTGACGATTCAAAAAATGTCGTCGAAGATGATGATGAGAAGGATAACTCTTCGTCCCATTCGCACTTTTCATCACGCGAGTTTGTTTTTCCAGTGAAATGCCTAACACCGTAATTTTTGACTGTAATTTTTTTACAAGGAGCGCAAACATTTTTGGTCTTTCAATGCGAGATGTGAGCGCAGGCACAATAAGATATGTGTTTTACTTCATGATTTAAAGAATTGTTATACGGGTTAAAAAATTGATCGAAGTTGCTAGAAAAAAAAAGGCTTATAAACTTTGATGGTTTTATTATTGTAAGACAAGTTCTACAAGTTTTTACAAAAATTTTGATTTTATAATTTGATGAACATAGTGGGTTTTGTTCAGAACTGAGGGAGAATTAAAGGAGGAAGGCGTTGTTAATCAGGATGAAAATTTGGAACAGCATTCTGAAACGAAAGAAAAGATTGACTATGATCAAATAAATATGGGTGACGAGATGGAAAAAGTAGATACAAATCACGAAAGAGTTGATAACGATTCTGATGGGGATGAAGGTTGGTGATAAAAGGACATAATTTCTTCTGTTTAGGGACAGTTATTGCTGCTCCATTTCCCAAATAGTATTTTTGCTTTTACAATTCGCTAAATTTCTTTGTTTTTTTCTTTTTTATAAATAAAACATGGTCAAGAGTAAAAAACGTTGCAGATAAACACGACGGTTCATCGAAACCACGACGGATCATGTTGTCCAGCGATGAAGAAGATAATATAGATGCTGCACCGGCAGCAGAGAAATCAAGGTGATTTCATTACTAACAGTTCATTATCACAAGAATGTTATTTATGAAAATGACTTTTATGACTTGTGTTTGACGTTTCTATATTCATTGTCAGTATGGTATTTGCCCAAGAAAAGCAGGTGGTTTTTGATTGAATTTCGAATTTTATATCCCGAATTACATTAGTTCCTGGTTCGGTTGCAGTCTGTCTTTTTTTCCAGAGATGATTCAGAATCGGAAGGTGATGAAGAGCATGCTGAAGTTGGTGTTGGTGAACTGATGACCAATATATTTGGTGAAGATAGTGATGATGAAAAGGAAGGTGAAGATGTTCAAGCACAGTATCAGGTAGACAACTTGTACCTTTTGAAGTGACTTTTTGCAGCACATAAGATCTTCAGCTTCTATTTGATCTTTTGAAAAGACGTGAGCTTCAAATATGGAGAAAAAGTTTTTATAATGGCGAGTATTTCGATTTATTCGGTCCTGATGTCCAAGTTTCTTCGGTACAGTAAGTGTGGTAAAACACTATTTTTTATTGCTTTTAATATTTTTACCTTAATATCAGGCTGAAAGGAATGGTCTAGAAGGAGATGATGACGAGCCCCGATATGTTCGTGATGAAAATGACGAAGATGATGGGTAAAACTTTTAGTGAAAATATTTAATTAGCAACGCCCAAATAAATGTAATTGAAAAAAAAAAAGTGGGTGTTTTATAAGGTTGGTTTTGTAGGCGAGTTTGGGACTTTGATACAATGATGCGTGAAAAGAAGGCAGAACGACGAAGACCAAGAAGACGCCGACGAGATGGTTCCATTGATGTTGGTGGAGCGTATGATGATCAAATTAAAATGCTTATTGATGCTATGAAATCTGCAGCAAAGGTAATGTTCACCACTTTTACTTCTTAAATGCATCAAGATAAAGTAATGCCTAGTTCATATACATAGCAGTTGGTATATATAATCTTGCATTTTTGCTTCTGCTTGATAACTTTCATATTAATATGTATGAAAGTCCAAAAATTTTTCATGTAAAAGTTCAAATGTTCATTATTTTTCCAAAATATAACACAGCTATCTTCTAGCATACATCCACATGCTGTATTGCAAAATTGATTGTAATATTTATAGATTATAAATTTGTAATAATAGCTGTATAAGATATTTTAGGACGACCGTCATTCCAACATAGAGCGTCGACCTGCTCTGCAGAAGCGTAAAATGCTACCACATGTAAAAGCAATGTTAATAAAGCACGATTTAATGGAGGCTATAATTGGTAAATGAATATTGTTGATTAAATCGAAATACTTTTTGTACTTTTTGTGCTGATCCAAATTAAGTGCTTTGAAAGTTTTTGTGACTCTGTTTTGTTTTTTTTTTTTTTTTTTTTTTTTTGTCACTTCGAATGTTGATAATCTACTGGAAAATATTTTATATATTTAAAAAATTCCCAATATTTTTGTAGATAATGGCATGATGAATGTAATATCAGAGTGGTTGGCGCCGTTACCAGATAAATCATTACCTGCATTGGAAATTCGGACAGATTTGTTAAAAATTCTGCAAGATTTTAGTCGGCTGGAACCAGGAACGCTGAAGCAATCTGGACTAGGACGTGCTGTAATGCTGCTATACAAACATCCACGCGAAACTAAAGAGAATAAAGCTCTTGCTGCACGGCTGATTAGTGACTGGGCTAGACCTATTTTCCAGGTCTCTCTTTTTTTGTTTTCCCTCGGGTAAACTTATGAATTACTTTAACAATTAGGTTCCCTTTTTTTTCAAAAATTGGTTCAAAATCTTTCCGTTCAATTTACATGCTAGATAAGTTGAGAATGGTTTGATGATTCTCAAGATGGCATGACTATGAAAGACACATTGTATGAATTAAAGGACTGTTCTTGGTTAATATAATTGTAATTCATTAGCGGGATTATCAGTTTTTTAGTTGATTTTGTTAGACTGTGGTTGGATTTCAAGGTAGAAATTGCGTTGAAATAAAATTCAGTGTCTAGCAAGGTCATAATACTATTTTTGTGTGATGTTACTATTTTTTTGTGATCTAAGAGAAAATATATTGAGATATTATTCTTAAATTTATTTTTTCTATTTTCAGCTCGACACTGATTTTCGTTCAATGACAAAAGATGAGCGTATACAGCGTGATTATGCGCAGTTATCAGAAGCTAAACGGCGACGCTTGGAGTAAGTGTTTGGATTTTAATTGCTGCATAAATGAACTTATGTAGTTTGGCATTACTATTTCATAATAAAATCGAATATTGGTATTGATTATCATGCAGTT